TATGTTGATTGTCGAAAAATATATTTATCCTTTTCAATTAGCTATTTTCAAAATTATTAGTATAGTTGGTTACGATTAAAATTTTAAATCACAAGTAAATTATATATTAAACTAATATATTATATTGACGCGCAAGTTAATAAACATGAATCACAACAAATTTGTAATTTTTTATTTTTTATTTTTGTAAGACATAAGTTTTATACATATAACCACCATTACATGTAGCATTTTTAGTTGAAATTTCTAGTTTATAGTTTAGTTAATTATTTAAAAAAATCATTCAGACAAAGACATGAGTGATATTTATATTTTTTTTAATTTTTATAATAATTTAATAAAAAAATTAGATTCGTTATTCAAGAAAAATATTGACATGATAGGACTATTAAAATAAAATAAAAATAGATTCAACTAATACTTATCCAGGCATATAAATAAGTTATTACAAAAGGTTTCATATAAATATAAAAAAATAAGTTTATTTTTCAATGTCCATTGTGAGTATTAAATGAAAAAGGTTTTAAATGGATGATTAATTTATTGTTTCGTATGTAAATAGTTGATAAATGATCAATCAGTATTTTTTATCCATCCACGGACTAGACTATTAAACTTACCAAGTTGTTGGTGGTCTCGATTTAGTTCAACTCGACCCACAATCTTTTCTTTTTATTCCATCCACATACAAAAACTATTACAAACTGAGATTATGATGGTCTCGATTCGACTGGACTCGGTTAATTGTTTTATGCACCCACTTAACCCGTTTATGTATAATTTCAGAACGCGCTGAGTTAAATGATAGCTTCACTTCATAATATTATGTGATAAAACATTATACTTTATAACATGTTTCAAATAAAAATTACTATTTTTTTATACCAAATAACTTAGATTTAAATTGCCATAAATTTAATATATTTAAACCATTCTATATAATTATTTATTAATTTCTTTTGATAATGTGCATATTATTTTGCTTCCCATATTATTATCTTATGCGTTTTAAGTAAAAATATTATAAATAAAACTAATAATATATATAAATAAAACAGTATTGTTAATTCACTTAATTCTTTATTATAATTGTTCTTTTACTTTTTCCCCTATTTTATGAGAAAGTATATATATTGTTCTTATTTTAAAATTTTTTTGAAAAAACTTATAATTTTTTTCTTTTATTTTTTATTGCACATTTAATTATCTATGATATTCTTATATTTAACTAGTATGTGGCCCGTGCGATGCACGGGTAAATAATATTAAATAATAATTATAAATTGACGATATAGGTAAATAATATGTATTTGTTTAGGATTTTGAGTGCCATTTTGAGATTTTTTAAGATTTGAGTTTAAGATGGTCAAATTCTAGAGGAATACTATGAAATCTTAAGTGTGAATGTGAGATTTAGGGTTAAATTTTGTATAATGTTTTTTTCTTTTAAATCATAACTAATCTTAAAAAGACCTAACAAATCTTGATCTCAAATAAGTTAAATATTTAAGGATATTTTAAGATTTTTTTAATTTTAAATATCAAAGATGAACCGTTTTTGTTACCAAAAAATGTGGACACAATTTTGAATGTACATCCCGTCCAAATGTCAGTTTTATTATAAAATAAAAATTGCACGTGATTTTATCCAATTTACACACTTTTGTTGAAAGAAAAAATTATTCAATAAGATTGGAAGAAATAGTTAAGAATTATACAAATATTTGTTTCCAAAATTTATATCCAATTTGTACGGTTTTTAAGTTAATTTGTATTTTGAATTGTTTTCATAAATAATTGACACATTTTTTGCATAAGAATCTCCAAATTTGTTACAAAAAATATATAATTTAAATTTTGGTAAAAAAAAATAAAATATGATACGAAAATAATGGGATTCAAATTTTTCCATAAGAATCTCCAAGTTAGTTACCAAAAAAATAGGATTCAGATTTTGTTACTAAAGATTCACATGTATTTTTTTTTAACTTTTCATTAATAGTAAGTCAAGCATTATATTTATTTGGTCAAACTTTCTATTAATGTATTTTTCAACAACCCCTTTATATATACTAGTACAGTCCCCGATGCACGGGGGTTTATTATCTCCGTCCCTTTTATAAAGCAATGTTCAATTAAAATTCAAAGTACTTACTAAAGGAAAGATCATGCTGTTAATAATAAATAAATTAATAAATACAATGATAATAAAATCTATATATTTTTGAACACTTCCTTATATACAATATTCATGGTTTGATTCTTTGGCACGTCATCGTCGCCACAAATTAGGACTTTCAAACCCATTTCTGTTTGTGATATAGGAGACAACAACATACAATTGACCATGACTAAACACTGATTTCTTAAGAAAGAAGTCCACATACGATAATGATTGTTCCAGGCTCTTATTTATTGTCATGTTGTAAGAAAACATAATGGGAAACAATCAATCCAATAACATCTACAAAAATATAAGAAAATGCATCATATTGAAATGTATAACATATAAAATAGTTTATTACAAATTTTAAATTAAAAAAAAAAATCGAAATAAGAAATAAACAAAAAAATTATAACGTACCAAACAACATGACTTCATCAATGTTACGAACATCCATTAAAGTTAGAAATAGAAAAATCACCCCTCCATTTGATAAATCACCCCTCCATTTGATAATCTTGGTTTGATCATTGATAATGATCCTCCCTTTTCATATCGTCGATTTATGGATGCCAATATTGCTTTCCACTTGATAGTTTTTCAAGATATAAGCGCCACCTTCTTCAATATCACCGATGATTTTTTGGATATTGACATTTTGAATTATGCCAGTAATTCATCCTCCCTAAGACATTGCATAATGAATAGTTCAATAAATAAATTATAAAAGATGTTGCATAAAATGATGCATTTAAATAATACTAAATGAACATATTACCTCAAAATCATGAAAGATAATCTCAAGAACATTTCGGTAATTGTGTACGTCTTCAACTCGTTGGAACATCCTAATTATGCACAGCTTGATTGGTGGCTTATTGGATCTTTTGATATCCTTGATTACTCCAAAATCCGAAGCCATTTTCAATGGTGATGTAAAAGCTTGTAGAAAAAATTATTTTGTGGGATATATTGGATGTCGAATACTTTTTGTTCAACGTTGTGATATTTATATAGTCATGTGTATGTGCCATATGTCTGGAAAATAAGAACATATTTACGTAAGGTATTTAATATGATCCGATCCGATTTTTTTTATTATGATTATGATTGACTTCTAAAAATATGTGTTATCGGTTTTGTTAAAAAAATAAAAAGAAAATGTGGAACGTGATTCACTTGTGAGGGACGAACGGATATTTAGAAGATTATGTAGCAAAAATAATGGAGTTTGTTACAATGAAATTTGGAATACATTTTGGATAGATTGAAAAATAATATTTTTATTTTGATCTGTTTATTTGGACAAATCCAAAACTTTAATTTACGAAATTATAATCTTTAATTTTTTGAAACGTGTAAAATTTTCTAAGATAACTTCTATAAAACAAAATGTGATCAAATCATAATTGATTTTATGCCTCAATATTCCAAATCAAACCTTACAAATATGGTATGATTATTTTCTATTAATATTTTATTTTTTCAAACGTCTTATTCTCTTAGGTTTATATGAAACAAAGTTCAATCAAATCAAAATTGATTTTTATGCCCACACTAAAACTTTATCAATATGATATGTTTATTTTATTTATTTATTTTTTTTTCAAATCCACAACTCAAATTTTCGAGAGAGAGAAAAAAAAGGAAACAAAATCTTATCAAACCTTATCAAATTTTCAAGAGAGGAAAAAAAAAAAAAAATTGTAAACAAAATCTTATCAAACCTTATCAATAATGAAGATTCTGTTTCCATGAAAAGCTAACAAAATCGCGTGGTTACCAAAATCTTATCAAATTAGTTAAGAAAATCCCATTAAATTGGTTAACAATATTGAAACGCATTTTGTTAGAAAAGATTTACGTAATTTATCTATCTAATTAATATCATATTAACGTGTGGGCCCAGTGATGTTAATTTAGTATAGCATCCATTATCTCATAATAATTTTTTGTTTGATTTACAACATTAATTTGAATGGGAAAAAAAATCCGTAATTGTTGAGATATCTCAATTCAAAATCTCAATTTTTTGGCATAAGAATCTTCAAATTTGTTACCAATAAAAATAGATTCCTATGGGAATAATATTTAAAATGTATTAAATTTTGGTATAAGAATCTCTAAATTTGTTATCATAAGAATCTTCAATTTGTTACCATAAGAAACCCATAAAAATCTTCTATGGATTGGAGTTTATCAAAATTTAGTATAACATCCATTATTTTCAGAATAATTTTTTGTTTGATTTACAACATGAATTTGAAGGGGAAAATATCCGAAATTGTTAGGATATCTCAATTCAAAATCTCAATTTATACTCCAATTTGTTACCATAAGAATCCCATAGAAATCTCCTATGGGATTGGAGTTTATCAATAGTTGGTATAACATTCATTATTTTTGGAATAATTTTTTATTTGATTTACAACATTAATTTGAATGGGAAAAAAATCCATAATTGTTGGAAAATCTCAATTCAAAATCTCAATTTTTTGGCATAACAATTTCTAAATATGTTACCAATAAAAGTAGATTTCTAGGGATTAATATTTAAAACAAAATTAAATTTTGATATATTAATCTCCAAATTTGTTACTGTAAAAATCTCCAAATTTTTTTGGGATATCTCAATTAAATTTGTTACCATAAAAATCTTCAAATTTGCTATCATAAAAATCTCAATTTTTTTGGTATATGTATTTTTTTCGAAATTTATTAATAGTAAGTCAAACTATTTATTTTTTTAACAAACTTACTATAAAAGTATTTTTTCAACAACCTCTTTATATTACTATAGATATATAGATAATAGACGTCGTCTAAACGGGCAGATCTGGCAGTGGGCCCACGCGCTAGAAACGCCTGATTATTAACCGCTTTTATCTCCATTTGTTCCCATTTGGTATACCCCTTTTTGTTTCAGTCCTTTGTGAGTGTGTGTCTGTGTGTGTTAGTGGAGCTTTTGAGAGCTGCTTGGAATAATAGTGAGCGAGAAAAAAAGGTGGAAAATGTTGGGCACAAGGCGAGGCGTTGTGCTGGCGGCGGCGGCGCTCATGTTCTCGGCGATGGTGCTGCCGGAGGTGGCGGCGGTGCGCTACATTGTGGGCAACGGGGGGCTTGGCGGCTGGACCTCCGGCGTGAACTACTCGAACTGGACTCACGGAAAGCACTTCTACAATGGGGATTGGCTGTGTATGTTATCTGCACTCAGATCTGTTTCTCTCCGTGTGTGTGTGTGTGCTTGTGTGTTTGTGTGTGTGTTTATTCAGGGTTATTGGTGCGAAGTGGAAATTTTCTTCAGATGCTTGCTTGATTTGTTACGGGTGACCTGATTTCTGTGTTTGACTGAGTTTGTTGATTTGATGGGTGAATTATTTTGTTTTTTTTTTTTCTTTCTGAAACAAAAAAAGAAAGAGAAAGAGAAAAAGGCCCTTCAGCTCCACGGTGAAAAATGCACTATTTTTACTACAATAAGTTAGTTTATCCCTTTTTTTCATGTTCCTTACTGTTTGATTCCAGACATTAGCTCAGTATGACAAGATCTGTTGTGATTAGCTTAATTTGTTGTGTTCATCTGTTTTTACTTGCCTCGGCCATTTGATTAATTACATTTCAGTGTGAAGATCTGCAGTCTCTCTCATTGTAGAGTTTTTTTGCCAATCTAATAGCTTAGTTAGTACTTAGTACCTTTCCATTTTCTACTTGTTTTGACAATGAGCTCCATGATAAAGGTCAATTGCTAGAAGGTTCCGCCACTGTATTGTATTTGAACTTTCCGTTTGAACACATTTTTTGTCTGGCCTTGATTCAATCAATGCATTTGTTAATCCATTTCCAAACTAAAGAACTGTTCGCTGTCTTTTGTTTGAGCTTCTCCAACCTTATTCAAGTATAGAATCAAGAATATTTCCACTTCACACCACGAATAGATATGTCCACCGACGAATTTCCAATTTCACGATTTCTAAAGCCTGTAACAATGAAATTCATTCATGCCCGAGTCTTGTCAACAACGAAACAAAGCATTACTTGTACACATATCTTATACCTATACATATATATGTCAAATTGTCAATAAATCTAAAATGCGGTTCCTTTTTTTTTTGGTTCTTTCACAGTCTTTGTATACGACAGGAATCAATACCAAGTGCTTGAGGTGAACAAGACCACGTATGATAACTGCACCCTCGACCAGCCGATCCACAACTTCACAGGTGGTGCCGGAAGGGATGTGGTGGCACTCAACCAGACTCGAAATTACTATTTCATAAGCAGTGTGGGATACTGTTTTGGAGGCATGAAGCTTGCTGTACATGTCGAGAATCCTCCACCTCCACCCTCAACTTCACCCTCGAGAAACGGGTCTCCCTCAAGCCTCGTGTCTTCTTTCCGGGCCCGGGCCTTGGTTCCGGCCCTTTTCGCAGCTGCTGCTGTTTGGGACTCGTTCCTTCTGCTCGTGTAATATTCGTGGGTTTGTTTTGTTTTGTTGCAATTTATCGACCGAATTGTGAAGAAAAAGTCATCTGAATTTGTTTCCATCGTTTTGTTAGTGTTCTTCACATTTGAGATAATCAAGATTATTGGTGAGGTTGGGTTTGGTTTGTAGGAGTGTTGAGAACTTTTTGTTTGTTTTTCAACAACTTGGTTAAGAATTGTTGTATGGATTTGTAGACATTGTTTGTGTTTATTGATTGATTATGAAGAAGAAGCCCGGGTCGAGGTGGTTTGGGCCGGGCCTGGGCTGGGTAAGGCACGTGTGCTGTCAACGTGGGAATGGGTTGTGTATTTTAGAGCTTTCACATGCTTGATAAATGATGATGGATAGTCCAACTTGTTGAGTTGAAGATTTGATTAGTTTAATACTTTTTAAATTTAAATATTCTATGGTTGTTTTCATAATCTTTGCATGGGTTTACTTAGCTGCGTTTTGTGGTTAGGAGTTGGTTGTATTACAGCTGAGATGCCCACGTGAAGTGCTGCACAATACAGATCATACTCTTTTTCCAGTCTTGAGAATCTTGAATATGTTCATTTTTGGGTTAATATGGGAATTTACTATGATGAATTCTTTAGGGAGCTTAGGATATAATTTGTTCTTTCATGTATCGTCTTTGGATAAATTTGTTTCATCGGATCTACCATAGGATACATTTTTTTTCCCCATAAAATTCACTATTTATATACTTTCATTATATTCTAACAAACTTATTCATACATTACATATAAAAAAAATAGTTATTACTATATTTTTTTTATAAATTATACTGTTTATTTAATCACGTACATAGTTTTAGCTCGTTCCCTACTCTTATGTCAACCTATATTAGGGTGAAGTGTATTTTATACAACGGATATGTTTTTAACTTTTCACGAACTTGGTGGGTTTGCTACTATTTTGAGATATTTTAAGACAAATTTTTTTAATAATATTTTGAGTAATTTATAGTGATTTAATATAGATATATTTATCTAAAGTTATATTTTGATACAACTGTAATATCAAATTATAAACTTGTTGAAATTTATTTGTACAAACTTTATCAAAATAATATATTTCAAGATAGAACCAAATACAAACCATGTTACTAATTTATATATTTTTTTGGATTTAAACCATGTTAATTTTTTGTTAACGAAAGTAGTAAAAAAAAGTTGCATACGCATGAATAATACTTATGTCAGATATGACCAAATGTTAAGTGGCAACTATCAATCATTTTAGGGTGTGATTGAATATGAATTTTATTAGTTGTTGATTGTTTTTTTTTGCTAATTATAGTTAATTCTAAAAAAGGAGTATGATTAGTTGTTAGAGAAAATTTAAGTTTAAATTAAATAATATTTAAAATGAAATAATTAAAATTGATTTGATGTAAAAATAGAAGAAAAATGATTGAAAGTGATGGTTAGCTAAAATTATGTGAGTGGATGAATAGTGAATTAAAGTATGACGTGTAAGAATAATTGGTGGATATCATTTAATTATATTGAAGACAGTAAGATTGGTTAAAGTTGAGTTAAATTTGAGTTTTGATTTATTTTTATTTTTGTTAAGTTTATATCTAGTTACACCCTTAAATTCAATTTCATATTTATTTTATCACATTATTATTATATTTTATGTATATTTATTCACAATCTAAAATTATTTCATTTTATTTTATTTGTTATTTAAAAAAAAAAGTCTAAGAGCTTTATAAAAGAGTGGATGAATGAGATCTTTATCCAAAGTAGGTCAAAAAAGGTATTGACCTCTACTTTAAAAATATTTGGGACCATATAGAATGCGCAAGTGTAGTCTTGCAGATAATGTCTTGCTAGCTCATCATCACGTGCAAGATCACAAACTGTGGGCTACTTTCCATATTTGGGCTCGATTAGGTTCTATGGGCCTTAATAAGTTAGTAGATTCGAGCTCGATTAGATTTATGGGCCTTAATAAGTAAGTTGGCTTAGGCTCTTTGGTGGCCTGTTGATCATACCCAATATTAAGAACATTGTTCAGCTAAAAGTTTGTGAAGGAATCTATCAATTAGATTTCCATCTATTCTTTATTTAAGAGCAGTTCATTTATTGTATGCATCAGCCAAATGAATTATCATACTATTACACATTGACATTGACATAAATAATCATATAATCACCCATTTCGATTAAGATGTTATGACAATATACCAGCAAATCTTGACTTATTCTTACCAGCATTGACACAGGCGGACCCATCCACAGCAGTTTAACAATTAGTCATTAATTGTTGTATTTTTGTTTATATTATTTTATAAAAGACTACATATAATAATAAAAGTATACATACACATATCGACTTAATGATTAGAAAACATGCTAATAATTAATATGTAACATAAAAAAAAGAAGAAGTAAAACTCATGTTTGAAGGATATAATAGTTAAACAATCATTTATTATCTCTGTATACTTTTGAATTGAACGAAAAAAAACATAAATAAAATCATGATATTTCATAATTATATTTGTATTTTAATAAACAATTGGTCATATGTGAGGTAGACGCAAATAATTTTTTATATAAATATATATATTTTTATTAGAAATTATTATAGCTTTAAAAAAATACTATTAGTACGAAATTTAGAAGTATATTGTTTAATCTCGTCCAATAAATTGTGAGGATAAGATAATACGAGAAATGCTAAGGAGCCAATAGTTGGCTTCGTTAGGGAGCCAACTGCTTATGTGGCACCCATGACTTTTACTTGCCACATGGATGCCACATTGACAGTTGACTCCTTAGGGCTTGATTGTTTATGAATTATTTCATTCCCATTTATTTCATACTCAAAATCTAACTTCACTTTAACTCAACTCCATTATCTTTAATATTATTCATATAATTAAATAATACAAACCAATCATTCTTACACATCACATCAATTTCAATTCACTATTCATCCACTCACATAATTTTAACTGCCAATCATTTATCTCCTATTTTTACATCAAAACAATTTAATTAAATATTATTATAATATATTGTTAAAATTTCACTAACAATTAACCATACCACATTTTTAAAATTAACTATGATTAATCAAAATAATTCATTTTCAACAAATTATTTTATAAACAACCACCCCCATTTCTCAAGATAGTACAAAAAGGTCTACAGCTAATTTCTTTCACGTTGAGAATGAGATCTCTGAGAGACCAATTTTTCTTCCAACAGATAAAGACGAAAAGCAAATATTTTAACCTCAGTTACAGCACAGCCGCGATGGCCTGAGAGACAGAGACCTAGAGAGAGAGCAAGTTGTCATGGTGGTGAGTGGTGACTCATATTTCTTCTTGAGCTTATACGCAATAAATGTCCAAGTGGGCCCCACTCACTGTTCATCCCGTACTGTTTTTTCGCAAGTTGCTCAGATGCATCCATCCATCGCTAAATAATCTCCAAGCACGCGTTGCAATTTGATGTATTATACTCTGCAATTTGTGGTTCAGGCAGCCATGGAGTAAGTAGGAAGAAAAAGAAGAAGAAAGAGAGAGAAAAAAATCCCCAACTTTCTAATTAACAGCAATTTCGTGTATAAAGATCGTTCCTTTTTTTTTTCCTTGTTTTTTCCCTACCTGTTTGTGGGTTTGCATATGTTCTTTCAGCTTTTTTGGGGGTAAATAGAAATCAAGAAAATGGATGGGAGTACAGTGGAAGATGCGGCGCCGCCGGCCCCAAGGGCGGCCAAGCCGACGATTCTGGTGCCGGCGCGTGGCCCGGCGGAGTCGTTCTTCGCAGCCGGGCTGGGGAGCCTCGGGTTCAGCCCGGGCCCGATGACGCTGGTCTCGAGCTTCTTCGCTGAGCAGGGCCCGTTTTCTTTCTCTCAGCTGCTGGCCGGAGCCATGGCCTCCCCGATGGCGCCGAAGCTGGATTTCTCGCCGGCGGAGGATATTCCGGCGAAAGAAGAAGAAGAGGGAAAATTTCCGGGCGGTGGGGAGAATCCCGAGGGAGCCGTTGGGTATAAGCGTAATAGGCCGATGAATTTGGTGGTGGCTCAGCCGCAGCTGCAGCCGGAGAGCCTGAGCCCGATGTTCATGGTCCCGCCGGGCCTGAGCCCGTCCGGGTTTCTTAACTCACCCGGGTTTTTATCCCCACTTGTAAGTTTTTTTATTTTCACTTGAATCTGATGCCTGTGAGTGTTTTTCCTTTTGTTATGATTATTGTGATATGCTATGTGGAATAGTTATTTGAATTTTAGTCAATTGAAGTTGAAATTGATGGATAAAGCTGTCGATGAATTTCTCAATGAAACTCTATGTTTTCCAATTGAATCTCCGTTGTAAGATTTGAATCTGAGTTTTGTAAACCAAAAGATTGAACTTTTAGCTGCTTCAAAGTAAAAAAGATGATAAAGAGAAGAAGAAGATTGAACTTCTAGTTCTATCTGTCAAATGTGAAGGACAAAAAGAAAAGATTGAACTTTGAAATTTGGGGATTTATGAATGACAGACCAAAATATTGGACTTTTAGCTGCTTAAAAGTAAAAAGATGATAAAGAGAAGAAGATTGAACTTCTTGTTCTAGCTGTCAAAGGTGAAAGGAAAAAGAAAAGATTGAATTTTGATGTGGGGATTTATGAAGGAATTAGGATGATTTGTCCATAATTGAAACTCAGTATATGAAGTCGCATTATTTGGTGCCTAAATCTGTTTTGGGGGGGTAATCTGATAACGTTTGTCTCGTTTTCTTATAGAAAATTCATGTCTTTGATCGACAATAAGAGGTAAATTTAACTCTACGGGCAAAATCGACGTGCTTTTACTAGCCACATTCGTTTGTGTTTCGAAGAGACTGCTTGTTCACTTGGATGAAAAAAAAAAAATTAGATTAGAGAAAGTTTGAATCACTGGATAAAGTTTTGCCATATGTCTCTGCTTTTTTTTTTCCCCTTTCATGTCCTTTGAATGCTTAGATAAACACCAAAAATGTTTTCATCTTGTCTTAATTNGGCCCACGTCACGGCCCAAGCCGCACTCTCCCAATCTTACATCCAAATGCAAGAACAAATCCAACGGTCATCACCGACCAATGAGACCTCGCCACATCACGCGAACCCAACTCCACAAACAGAACCAGAAGCCTCCAAGATAGAGTCTCCCGAATTTTCCTCTCAGCCCGAAAGTAAAAAACCGGTCAATGTTACAACCGGTAATAAACCGGCAAACGACGGCTACAACTGGAGAAAATACGGGCAGAAGCACGTGAAAGGAAGTGAGTGCCCGAGAAGTTACTATAAGTGCACGCACTCGAATTGTCCGGTCAAGAAGAAAGTCGAGCTTTCTCTAGACGGGGGTATTTTGGAGATTGTGTACAAGGGGCAGCACAATCACGCACCCCCTCGAAATAATAATAATAATAAACGGGCGAAAGATGGTTGTGGGCTTGAGACAAACGGGCCTAACGAGGCTAGTTCTCAGCCCATGAATTTGCGGGTGGGCCCACAACAGCCGCTCGAGCGTGATAATATTAATGGTGATGTGGAAAATAATGTGATTGTGGTGGATGATGTGGATGATGAGGAACCGATTGCTAAAAGGAGGTAAAAATAGATATCTTTTATCTCATCTTGTCTTGATTGTTCGTATTTTCTTGGGAAATTACGACTGTGTTTGGTAAGTATATAAGCTTGCTTATAGCTTGTTTGATTCACTTTATAAGTTTCCTGTATTTAGATAAGCTAAATAAGCTTAGGTTGGTATGACGAATTATTTTAAAAAAACTTGAGTTCATCTCTTAAGTTTCCATTGAAATTTTTATTACAGCTACCTTATCAACTAATTTTACGAAGCCATAAGTCATAAGCTATCAACTATAAGCTCGATATTTACTTAAAAGCTATTAGCTAGCTTATCAGCTAGGTTTACCAAACATAACCTACAAACTAAGAAAAGCGTGAACTTTGGGAGGGTGTTTTTCTGAATGAGGTCAAATCAAACCGAGGGTAGTTTTTTTTTGCTATTCTTTCTTCTCTTTTTCTTTTCCTGTTTGTTTTCTCATTCGCTCGTGTAAAAAGGCACTTCTTCTGAGCAGGAGCTTGGATGTTGAGCAGTCGAATCCAGTTTCTTCGCATCAAACAATTACCGAATCCAAAATTGTCGTTCAGACAAGAAGCGAAGTTGATCTTTTAGACGACGGTTATAAATGGAGAAAATACGGACAGAAAGTGGTCAAGGGGAATCAACATCCTAGGTGCGCGTTATTATATTAATAACTTAAAAATCTAATCTTTTGTTCTTTCTTAACACTTCTAAATTGTTTTCTTCTTAAATCTTCGCACGTCAAAATCTTTTTTTTTTTTCTTTCACTGCAGGAGTTATTACAGATGTACATATGCCGGGTGTAATGTGCGAAAACACGTCGAGAGGGCCTCTGCAGATCCTAAAGCCGTGATTACTACTTACGAAGGTAAGCACAATCACGAGATTCCTTCTAGAAGGTTCTCGGTTCATGCCAATGTTAGTCCTCCTCAGCCTCTAAATTTGCCAAAATCAGCAGCCAATATTCCCTTTTCGGCTCCGGAAATGGATTTCTCGAGCCAAGATAAGATTCCGGTGACTTTACATCTCAAGGAAGAACAAATTGCTGCATGATTTTTTTTCGGATCATGCAAATATATGTTATATATTTTCCCACGTGTGAGGATATTCTATGAGAATATGTTTATAATCAAAGTGTTTTGTGCTTTTGTGCAGACAATGGTCAATAATGTTGGGTTACAATTAGTGTAACCATGGATAATTTGTGTGTGGTTAAGTATCATGTGGTATATATCAATCAATTGTGACATTACAGTTGCTTTGCAAATTGCAATAACTCTCATAAGTCATACTATTGAACATAAGATTTTGGACTTGATAGTTGAGATGCCAATTGAGAATGTGGCTAAAAAGTTGCTCTGAAAGTTGAATTATGATATGAAAAATTGAAGGGACTACTTATTGAAGGCCATAGTTACTGCATATTCATTCAAAATAAATTATACAACGTTGATAACCATTAGAAAATTATATATATAGTTTTTTTTTTTCTACAAATAAACATATTTATTGTTGAACTATCATATCATACTTACAACAAGACTCTTATTAGATAAACCTAATTGATGTAGTCATATTTTTTCAATAAATGTATTACTTTCATACACGAAATTGTGCATTATTTACAAATTAAACATAAAAAAAAAAAAGTTTGATATATAGTGTACGTATTTAGTTTAATAAATAAATGTTCGACAAATAGTATTTGTCTCGCCTAACTGTTATATTGGTTAATACATTTTTAACCATAAAAGGTAGCTAGCTAATACATTACAAAAGCCAGCTAATATAGTATTAATGTAATCTTGTGATTATGTAACAAGTGTAGTAGGTGAACGAACTTTAGACTACACGTATGCCAAAGCAACCTAGATTTTCCTTGTCAATATTTGTCAATTGTTGACAATGGATCCATTCTAATAAGATTCTATGTTCCAATTTCTACAATCCTATTTTGTTTTAATAGTGTATATCCCGTGTCATGCACGGGAACAATATTAAATTAACAGTATTATAAATAGACATCGAGTTTGAGTCACTCAATAGCGAAAGTGGAAACTACTATTGATCCTATTTAAAAAGAGAAAGAAAAAAAATAATTATAAATTAAAGAGGAGGATAAACAATACTTAATAATTATAAATTAAAGATTCGGGGTCAAACAATGTAAAACTATTTTGTATAAGAGAATAGGAAATTTACATTATTTTGTATAAAAGAATATAAAATTTGAATGTTTAATATTAAAACACCTAAAATATTATATTAGTATATGTAAAAGTATTCAAATTTTTCTATATTATTTTTTAAAGATGTGAAGTCACCTACAACTTTTCTAAACAATTTTAGAAGGAAAACATATCTAAAAACATTTGAATTTAACATGGTGTAAAAAAGATTTTTTCTAGACTATTTTGTAAAGAAAACATGTCTACAAATATTTAAATTTAACATCAATTATGTATATGTGTGTATGTATATATATATATGTATATATAGACAAATATGTAAAAAAATGTCTAAACAATTTGTTTAAAATATCTAAAATATTATAAGCATAATTTAAAAAAGACATTATGTCAGATGATACCAAATTTATGACGGTACTTCCATCTAAAAATTTGATTACACACCATGATGTATTGTTAGCTTATATTTGTAAAAATATTAGTAATTAGACCTAATGAAAATTAGCTTTTTAAAGTAGATAATGGATTTCTAGTAATTATGAATTGGTTTTTGTTTTATTTTATTTTTTTTAAATCATAAGAGATGAGATTTTTTAAATTTGCAATGAGATTTTGTAGCAGATAAGAGATAAACTCTAGATTTATGCTATGAGATTTTATAACGCGATTTTCAATACCAAAAAAAAAGGGAAAAAGGAAAACAGATTCTAACACAATTAATCTGTCGATTTTGTTGTCTTATCAATATTGTCCAACAATTACTATATATAGAATACATTTAATGTATTTGGCGGGAAAATATTTCTAAAATTGTAAAAATATTATTCTTTTTATATAATGATAGATTTCTTTTAAACTCGGTTATTTGTAGGGTCAAAATATCGAATTGGATTGAAAGAAAAAAAATGGAATAGATAAATAAATTCTCACATGCATTAATCTATTACAATAGACCATATTGATAGAGCCAACTTTTAGCTGTCGTCGGGCAGTTGACCAACTATTTTCTCCAAACGCATGCAAACTTCAAAGAATAAGAACAATTGTTAAATGAAGCTCGATTATGTTCGATTTGACTTGTTAAGGTTTGAGTTCATTTAATGTTCGTTTAGTAAATAAGTCGAGACGAGCTCGTTAAATCTCAAAAATTAATTTTCTTATTAGTCAATTTACATGACTCAACTTGTTAAAGCTCGAATTTGACTACTCGATAATATTAACCAACGAGCTCGATTTGCCATCGACTCAGCTCGACTTGTTTTGTTTACGTTCAATATTGTAAAATCCAATAGTTATGTTTTTAATTTTTATGTGAACTTTGCTTTACATTATTAACTTTCAACCAATCAAAAAGAAGCATGAATTCCGAGTGTCGCCTCCTCCGCCTGTCCTCCGCACATCTCGCAAGCTGCAGAAAAAAACACACACACACAACACAAGAAAAAAGAAAAAAAACATGTCAAGAAAATCTTTGACCCTTCAATTTTCCTCTCTCTCCCCCCCAAAAATAAGCTCTTCGTTTGTTCTTTGAGGGCCTCTCTCTGTCTCTTCCCCATTACCGGAGAATTTCTCATATTCTTTTCCCTTTTCTAGGGCTGTTCTGTTTTTCTCCTTTCGGGCCCGTTTCCCCTTTTCCGGGTTTGGGCTTGAAATTCACCTTTTGGTTGATACCATTTATGGCGTTGAAAGCTGTTTATGGGTTTTAGCCGGAAATGGGTTGCGTCAGCTCCAAGAAGGCGAGGGCCCAGTCGCCGGCGTACGACGTCGTCGTCACCTCGGGCCGCAGCAGGAGCAGCAGGTCGGGCCGCCTGGCAGCGTTCGGCCCGATGCATGTCGGGCCCCTCGAGAATATAAGGGAGGAGCCGGAGAAGGAGGTGGATTTGGAGGAGGGGAAGAAGGGGGCGGCGGCGGAGGAGGATGGCGGTGGGGAATCTGGGAATGAGGTGAAAAGATTCGATCTTGACGGTGGTTCAGAGGATTCGCGGGCCGGGCCGGCGGTGTCTCAGAGGAATGCGAGCTTCGGCTTTAAATTCGGGAGCCTGGCGGAGGCCGAGCAGGTGGCGGCGGGTTGGCCGGCCTGGCTGACGGCGGTGGCCGGGGAAGCCATTGATGGGTGGGTCCCGTTGAGGTCAGATATGTACGAGAGGTTGGAAAAGGTAAGAAAAAAGTAGGTAAATGAAAATTAAAATTCATCCTTGTGTTAAGGAAAAATAATAAAAAAAAAAGTCTGAATAATGTTTTCAAATTGATTTAGATCAATGCCCTTGACAAATTAGCTGAGCATTGATTAAAGGCTGTGGTTTATTAACTAAATAGGTGAAATTTGCAGTGGAAGTAATTGATCAGAGTAATGACTAATGCATTGTTGTGAACCCTTCATTTAAGATTGTAGGTACTGATTTTAAAGCAAATTATTACTACACAAAGTATTTTGATGATTGGAAGTGGATTTATTGCAAAAACCACCCTTATGGTTCAGTCTAATTTGAAAATAGCTCACTTTCTCTATTCAAGATTTTCATTAATGTCATCTTCAAGAAACAGGTAGGGAGGTCCCTGTCAGTTAAACATAAACATCAATTGTGGGGATGATTGGATTTATTTTATTCTATTTTTTTTATTTTTGGACTAAGCTAAATCTTTGGGTAGTTATTTGTATGTCATTACCATATATGTAGATTGGACAAGGCACATACAGCACGGTTTACCGTGCACGTGACCTGAAAACCGGTAAAATGGTCGCCGTGAAAAAGGTCCGTTTCGACAATTTCCAACCGGACAGCGTAAGGTTCATGGCCCGCGAGATTTCGATCCTCCGCAAGCTAGACCACCCTAACGTTATGAAACTCCAAGGCATTATTACTTCCCGATTATCATGCAGTATAAACTTAGTTTTCGAGTACATGGAGCACGACCTAGCAGGACTTTTATCCTGTCCCGACGTAAAATTTACCGAATCACAGGTTTACTTCATTTCAAGTTAGTAGCTTTTCAAATTTCACCGTATTATTGCCCTACGAACACCGTTTTTCTAATTCTTTTCTTTTTCTTTTTTTTTTAGATCAAATGTTACATGCGACAACTATTGAGTGCGGTCGAGCATTGCCACTCGCGAGGCATAATTCATCGTGATATTAAATCTTCGAACATCTTAGTGAATAACGAGGGGATTTTGAAGGTAGCTGATTTTGGGCTTGCGAATTTCATGAGGCCCAACAAAAGCAATAAGCAGCCTTTGACGAGCCGCGTGGTAACTCTATGGTACCGTCCTCCCGAGCTTCTCATGGGGTCCACGAATTATGGGGAGTCCGTAGATTTATGGAGTGTGGGCTGTGTTTTTGCCGAACTTTTCATCGGGAGGCCTTTGCTCAAGGGTAGAACTGAGGTTAGAACTCCTGAAAAGCTAGCTTGTATGATAAAAATGTTTAGTAAAATTAGTTGATAAGCTAACTGGAATTAAAATTTCAACGAGATTATTTGAAAAGATACTCAAAGAAGCTTATGAGATAAGCTTGAGCTTTTTAAAAAAAAATTCCGTATTGCCAAACGAAGCTTATTTGAATACAGTAAGCTTATAAGCTAACCAAATAAGCTATAAGATAGCTTATAAGGAAGTTTGGAGACACTAAAAAGAGAAACATACAAGTTTACGTATGTTTTTGGCATTCGAAAATTTAGGTTGAACAGTTGCATAAAATCTTCAAGCTGTGTGGTTCGCCACCGGAGGATTACTGGAAAAAGTGTCGACTTCCTCTAGCAACTATGTTTAAACCTCAGCAGCCTTACGAGAGCACGCTCAGAGAAAGATGCAAAGAATTTCCGAAAAGTGCAATCGGCCTAATCGAGACCTTCCTCTCTGTCGAACCATATAAACGTGGGACTGCATCTTCTTCACTCAATTCCGTGGTGAGCATAGCTTGAACTTTGAAAAAGAAAATTCGAAAAGTTTGTTTGTCCGTGTGTGAATTTTCTTCTTTTTTTTTTTTTTTCTTTTTTTGGCAGTATTTCCGTACGAAGCCTTACGCGTGTGATCCGTCGAGCTTGCCGAAATACCCACCGTTAAAAGAGATCGATGCTAAAATCCGCGAAGATGCAAGAAGGTAAGGAATAATGATTAGTTAATATTAGCATCTTTGAGTTTTGTGTGACAAATTTGTGCTAACTGGCTAACCAAGTTTACAAAATTGAGGGAAGCAGTTTATGTATAAAAGATGATAATATACAATTTTGGAAGTTTCTGAACAAATCGAACAAACCGGTATTTTCAGGAAAAAGGCGGGTCCACGAGCAGAAGCAGGTTCAAGAAATCCAAGGAGAGTTCGTAGAGCCTCGCAAGAATCGAGCAACGAATTTCTGCATGTAATGTTGTCAATAATCGATCTTGTTAACTGCTCCACACCTTTTCTTTTTTGTTTTTGCATTTTGGTCCCGTGGGTTTCTTGTTCTATCTTTTCAATGATTTTTCTTTGTTTCGATTTCCCAAAGGAGCCCGATGGCAACGGCCAACTGGCCCGTCGGGCCCAAGTCGGGCCCACCAAACTACACAGGCGGAAAAACGGGCTCGAGTCCCGAACGGCCCAAAAGCAACCGTACGACACCAAGTCAGAAGCTTCACAGACGACCCAAATGTCTCACGGGTTGAGCATCAAGTCAGTCCCTGTCCAGGTGTCGGCCTCGAGTGGCTTCACATGGGCCAAGCGGCCCAAGAAGCACGACATGTTCACTAGGCCCATCTCGAGAGGCCCAATGCCATATGTGGCTGACCCATCAAGCATACTGCATGTGAATGATGTTTTGGGCTCGGATGGCCAGGAGACCGACGAGTCATCGGGCCGGGCCTATGTTTTGGAGCCCGAAAAACGGGCCCACATGCAACGGGCCGACACGTTTGATTCGAATGATGTGTATGAGTCCCCTGAATTGGCAGAGGTGACAAAAAGACTCGATTTTTAATAGAATTACGTACAAATTGTGCGCGATAAATTTGTTTTATTTAATTTTGGAATAGGTTTATGGCATCAAGAAGAAAGGGAGAGTTGCATTCTCTGGGCCGATTACGTATCAGTCTCAAGAAAATACGTCGAGGCAGTATGAACAAGCTCGTCAAGTTCATCGTCGATCGCGCTTTTATAAAGGTATGATTTTTTTCTTCATTTTTTGGCAATAATTTGAACTCGAGAGGGGAAGAAAAAGGAGAAAAAACAAGAAAATGATGTGATTTACTCTTGATTGTGATTTGTGTGAAGCTGGCCATTTATATGCTGCATTTTTGTACAGATTAGATACTACTGCTCAAGCCCTGGAATATGGTTGAACAAGGCAAATGTTGTATTAACTGTTGCTGGGTTTAGTTGATTTTTTTTTTTCTTCTTTTTCTCCTGGGGAGTTTTTGTTCTTTCTAAACTCTGCAACAATTTTTACACAGAATATTGCAGAAAAACAGAAAATAAGTTTTCTTAAAAAAAATTGGAATGGGGTGAAGAACTGAGAGAGCCCAGCACACGGACAGGTGGTAAAAAAAAAGTAAATTAAATGTCTGTGTATATTCAATACATTTACAGATCTTTTTATTTCATTTTTTTAATCTTTTTACTTTTTTTCATGTTTAGTTCCTTCAGAAATGTAGTTTTAGAATATTTAGATTGATTGATTCCTTACAAGTACCAAGTGATTTTCTTCAATGCAATTTATTAGCATTTCATAAGTTCATGATTGGTTAAGTTCAACCTGCATGACTATTGACAGGTGAGCTAACTGATTAACTACATACCTAAAATTTTAAAATGCAATTCAATTTCTGCATAAATGGAAAATATGAAATATGTATGATATGCATAGCCAGCAACAAAATAATCTCACATTGGGTTAGCACAAAATTTTGAATGTTGTTCAAACTCAATTCAGCTCGTTTGATAATTGGCCCCAACTCAAGCTCATTAGACCCGAAATTGGGATTTTTCGACTTGTTAAAATTTGAGCTCTTGAAACGTTAAACGAATTTACTTTTTGTTTATGAAATAAAGGCCGAGTTCAAACGAGTTCGACTCCAGTTCAATCGCTAAGGTTCGAACTCAACTCATTAGTATTGATAAATAAATTGAGCTTGAGCTGGAGTATCAATAATTGGGCTCAACATTGGTTTACACTGCTACAAATATCTAACATCTTAAAAAATTACATGGTACTAATTGGTTCTGATTGGGCCCATAAAGTCATATAATTGAGTTTATCTCGTTAGAAGCCTCAAAACCCAATTACCAATCGGTCAACAGTCCTTGGGCCGTGACATGATGCGGTTGTTTTCAAATAAATAAGTTGAGGATATATAGAAGTGGACATAATACTCAATGCTATACTAATTTAAGGTTTCAACAGCATTGAGTGTTATGTACATAGAGGTGTTTTCAAATAAATAAGTATCAAATTGGTATATGTAAGGCCATGTTTTAAATACCGTATCGTACAGGTCGGTAATACCGGATACCGATCATTGGTACGGTATAATTGCACACAAAATATGAAAATACCGAATTTTCGGTTATACCGGTTTGTACCGGGATCATACCGAAAAATACCTGTCCAAAATACCAGTCAATAAAAATAAAAATAAAAATAAAATTTATTAATTTAAAAACATAAAATTTAAATTGGTTTAAAATGTTTTATTTTTATCTCATTGAGAAGTTGAAATTAATTATTATGGTCATTTATTTTTTTACTTTTTTGCATTTGGTATTATATATTTTCATGTAGAGATGTTAAACGGGCTAGCCCTAGCGGGCTTCGGACTAAACGGTCCAGGCCTAAAAAACTCGAATTTAAACGGGCTACCAAACAAGGACCTAACCCTAACCCTAGCATGCTTCGGGCTATGCGGGCTATTATAATAATAATAATAATAATAATAATAATAATAATAATAATAATAATAATAATAATATATAAAAAAATAAAAATAAAAAGAGTAAAATATATATAGAAAAAATAACGGCTGCTAGTTAACAATTGTTTTCAACGGCTATTTACTATTTACCGTCTATCATTATGTTTCATGTGTTTCCTATTAGTCATTTTGATTGACTTAAATATTTTGGTCTGAAATACAGTAATAAAATTATTAATAATTATCTTTCCAAATCATAATAATCCATTACAACTCATACTTACATGTGAAGTGAATTAGCAAAATTATAATATACAAGAAATCTAAGAGCATATTACTTGCTTGATGCAAACATTTACACCACCAACCCTAATTAAACGGGCCAGCCCTAGCGGGCTTCGGGCTAAACGGTCTGGGCCTAAAAAGCCCTGATTTAAACGGGCTACTAATGAAAGGACCTAACCCTGTTTTTTTTCGGGCTAAACGGGTCGGCCCGTCGGGTCAATGACCATTTAACATCTCTATTTTTATGTATATTTATATATATTATTATATTTGCTAGTACCACCGATATTACCGGTCCGACTGGTAATACCGCGTACCGGTGACTAGACCGATATGACCACCGGTACGATATTTAAGACACTGATGTAAGGTTCAAATAAAACAACCGCGACACTCAATCCTTTTTACTCAATCCATGCGGTTGTTTTCAAATAAAAAGTCGAGGGACATAGATGTGTACATAACACTCAACCCTATATCAGTTTAAGGTTTCAACAACATTAAGATTTCAGTCAAGGGACATAGAGGTGTCAACAACATTGAGTGTTATGTACACCTCTATATTAATTGTTATGTTACCAATGTACACCAGCATTGAGTGTTATCTTGTTTGGATTTTCTTTCTACATATTCATGTCGAATTATATTAGACAATCTATATTACAACATAAATTACCAGTGTTTTGAGACCCGGGCTGACTCGGCGGGTCGACCCGGAGCCGGAACCGGTCCGGGTGGAGTATTTGGACCGGGCAACCAAGGACCCGGTTAAACCCGGTCAAAACCCGGCCGACCCGGCAGAGACCCGGCCGACTCGGGGAGTTGACCCGGCCGGGTCAACCGGTCCATATATATTTTTTATATTTTTTATATTTTTTTTGTTTTTTTTAAAATAAAAATATGTATATATGTTTATATGGTAAATATTTATCATGAGATACATATTATTAACACTTTAATATACAAATTTTATATACAAAACATTTAATTTTGTTACTTGTATGTATATTTATATAACAAAAATACTCTATATATAATTTTAAAACTTTTAAAATTAATTATCCGGTTCAGCAATTGACTCGGTGACCCGACGGTTGAATCGGTGACTCGGTGACCCGAGGACCTGCCCGGATTAATCACCGGACCGGGTTTAAAAACTATGTAAATTACCCATCAAATTGTTAAAAATATATTATTTACAAAAAAAAAAAAGTTAAAAAGGAGAAGTAATCAGTTATTTTTTCTCAGTGGTTCACAAAGCACCCATAGCTTTCAGCCAACAATGGCAAGAAACCGACTTTTTGTGTCCAAAAGGAAGAAGCTAAAATCAGGAAATAATAACAATAATATTAAAAAAAAAAAAAGATGCTAAAATTAATCTCAGCCTCACGATTTCATCCCAATAATTGCAAAAACCCATCTCCATTAATTTCTTCCTACTCACTCAACTAAAACTTCCATCTCTGCAAACCTTATTCCAATGGCAGCAATCGTGATTAAACGTAATAAAAAATCGTTGCTTTATTTCAAGCACAAATAAGCATCTTAATTGTGACAGCTCGGACGGAGAAAACGAAATAAAGTAATATTCAAACAAGATTTTTTTCCCCCAAAGCTCACAAAAGGTCTCGGCGCTTGGCTTTCACCGTCATCAGCTCCTCAACCTGCATTGGAGGAGGCAATCGAGGTGAAAACAATCTCTTTCAGAATCTGGGTTTTGTTTTGCTCTTTCTCCTTGTTATGATTCTTTCAGTATTTTTTTCGGCAGCACCTTTTGTAGATTCANCTTTTCCTTTGTTGGATGATTTGTGTTGCTGTTCCCTTTTGGGAACAGAATCAGGATGTATTCTTGAGTTAAATTGTTACTTTTACTTTCAGAACTTGCTTTTGTTTCAAAGTTTACATTGAAAATGTGTGTTTGTTCCCCTTGGAAAGTGACTTCATGTTTTGTATTTGTTTAGAGAGTGGTAATTATGTAGGTCGTGGAAAAACTAACAATCTTGCACAAAAGCACTTAGATTGTCAAAGGGTTAGGATTTTCTTGCCCTGTAAGTATTCAAACTTAGTAAAAACATATGTTGGCCTTGTTATTAAATGTTCTTAACCGTTGATTGACATCGATCAGAACCACATGTTTTCTTGTGAAATTTGTATCAATTAAATAAATGCAATTGATTTGCCGAAAATGGCAAAAACCACGTGTTCTTTCATGAAATTTGTAGACGCAGAGTAAATGCATTCGTTGCAATTATACCATTGCTCTCGATTTTTCCCAATTTATTCCGGTGGGTCCCTTTTAACGACTGCTGGTTGTTTGATGACTGGAAGAGTTTATAAGAATATTATTGAAGCTCATTTCTTGCTGCTGCTATGGATGCTATTATTTTGGTGTTTATCTTCTGATTTATTTGTTTTTTTCATTCACATCTATTTAGGATTATGGACGGGTCATTCCAAGATGTTAGTAGTGTCGATTCTTTCTTGAGGAACTACAAGCTCGGGAAGACTCTTGGAATTGGTTCATTTGGTAAAGTCAAAATTGCCGAACATGCGTTGACTGGGCACAAAGTTGCTGTCAAGATCCTTAACCGTAAGAAAATAAAGAATATGGACATGGAAGAAAAAGGTTAGCCAAAATTTGGGCAGTGTTTGTAATTTGGATGCTTAATTTTTTTTTATTTAAAAGCACTATTTTTGTATAGGACGTTGTTCATTACAGCATTACTAAGAGTAAATTGCTTATTGCAGTTAGAAGAGAAATCAAAATTTTGAGATTGTTCATGCATCCCCACATTATACGTTTGTATGAGGTTGTGGAGACACATTCAGATATATACGTTGTGATGGAATATGTGAAGTCTGGTGAGTTGTTCGATTATATAGTCGAAAAAGGCAGGTTACATGAGGAAGAAGCTCGTGTATTTTTTCAACAGGTAGTATTTTGCTTTCTATTCGTGTGAGTTAAATGCTGCTTCTTTCATTCACATTGCATATAAAAATGTGNTTTCATTTTCTTTTTCTACGCTGCATTCACAAATGCGTGTGATTGCAGATCATATCTGGAGTGGAATACTGCCATAGAAATATGGTGGTTCATAGAGATTTGAAGCCCGAGAACTTACTTTTGGACTCTAAGCACAACGTGAAGATTGCCGATTTTGGTTTGAGCAATATCATGCGAGACGGCCATTTTTTGAAAACAAGTTGTGGAAGCCCTAACTATGCTGCTCCAGAGGTAACTAACAATAAATGTGAAATAAGTGGTGTTTAAGTGTTTTTAAATGATATACCGAAAGCATTTAACTTTGTGGCTTTTGTAAATACGGTAGGTAATATCTGGTAAATTATACGCTGGACCTGAAGTGGACGTGTGGAGCTGTGGTGTTATTCTCTATGCACTTCTCTGCGGGACCCTTCCGTTTGACGATGAAAACATTCCCAACCTGTTTAAAAAAATTAAGGTATATTTTCATATTTAGTAGTATTTTACTTCAATTGTCCACATTCTGTAAGTTCATGTGATGATAATGTTTGACTCTTACAATTATTACTTGATGGTGTTCTAATTGTTAGGGTGTTTTTATATATAAAATAACTCAATCGATACTCAAATCTAATTTAACTTTAACTCAACCTCAATATTATCACTATAATTAAATAATATCCAATCGATCATTCTCACTATTCATCCACTCACACAATTTTAACTATTCGTCACTTCACATCATCTCTCTCCTACTTTTACATTAAATCAACTTTAATTATTTTATTTTATATTATTTTAATATAAACTCAAAATCCCACTAACAACTAACCATATCACATTTCTCAAAAATTAACCATAGTTAACCAAAAAACTCGTTTTGAACGGATATATTTGTATCCAAGCACGCCCTTAGGCTTTTAATACAGAACTTTGTTTTAATTCACGAGCATTTTTTCGGCACCTGCAGCTAATCGTATTATCAGAATACTAAATATTTACGAGCAAAAAACCGTGACATTTTATTACATTTTGTCTTCCAGGGTGGAATATATACTCTCCCGAGCCATTTATCTGCTAGTGCAAGAGATTTGATTCCTAGGATGCTTATAGTTGATCCCATGAAGCGGATGACTATTCCTGCGGTGCGTGCGCATCCATGGTTCGTGTCTCATCTCCCGAGGTACTTGGCTGTGCCACCACCCGATACAACTCAGCAAGCTAAAAAGGTTCGTTTAGTGGAATTTGCAGAGCAAAAATCTCGATTTTCATATTTGATGAAGTTTGCAAGGAAATGTAGCCTCTATAATCTTTATTACCTTTTTTTTTTTTAATTTTATTTTCTATTTGGTACTGTTGATTTTTCTATTGATGGAGATCCTTTCGTATGGTTCTGTTTTCATATTATGAGTAAAAATTAAAAGCCNAAAAAAAAAAAAATCATTTTTAGGTTGATCATTGATCGATATTGAATTTTTGTATATGTCAACTGTTTTTTCAGGGTACTGTTACATACTATCTACTGCTGGACAATCGTTTTCGCGTTTCAAATGGCTATCTTGGATCTGAATTCCAGGAGAGCATGGTACATACATCCCTTTTAAGATATACTTCTTAATGTTAAAACTGAAAGAAAAAAAATAAAATAAAATTGGGGTTTGGTCATGGTCAATAATTTTAATTAATAAAAAAGAAATATAAAAAGGTAGATTACATGCAAGCTATATACTATATACTATTTTCCATGTATATATATATATTTTTCTGACAAGTGTTGGTATCAATATATTCTATTTTACGATATTCAGGAACTTGGGTTTAACCGAATGACTCAAAACGAGACTTTACCATCTCCCGGTGGGCAACAGTTTCTTGGAGCAGTCGATTATCGGCAGTTTGCTGTTGACCGGAAATGGGCACTCGGACTTCAGGTTATTAGTCAGTTTGCTTTCTTCTAGTCCATTAACAAAATATGCTAAATTTGAGTTGATGGAAATTTTCTCCCTAAAGATAAAAAAGACTTGTTAATGTCTTAAATTTGAAGATATTCACATGCCTGAGCAAATCTGCTGTGATCAAGCAAATTATCTGCTATGTAGTTATATTAGTTATTACCTGTGGTTTCAAAGATAGTTCGGATTTTTCATTGGTCTGTTGCTACTCTATTCGTACTTATGCCCATTCTTTTTTTTTTTTTCTTCTTCTTCGATAGTCCCGAGCCCACCCGCGTGAGATTATGACTGAGGTCCTCAAAGCTCTGCAAGAACTGAATGTTTACTGGAAAAAGATTGGGCATTACAACATGAAATGCAAATGGACTCACGTAAATCCTGGTCAGCATGAAGGGTTACTTAATTTTTTCGGAGGTGATAATTCTGCTATTATCGAGACCGATGGCAATGTTAGGCCACAAAGTGTGGTGAAGTTTGAGTTGCAGGTAAATCAGATCTTTTCTTCTCATTACTGTAGAAATAAGCTAAATAGTTAAAAAAAAATATCTGTTTTTTTTTTATGTTATGTTATTTTCAGCTCTACAAGACGCGCGAAGAGAAATACTTGCTCGATTTGCAGAGAGTGCTTGGGCCACAGTTCCTCTTTCTCGAACTCTGTGCTGCCTTCCTTGCTCAGCTTCGCGTCCTCTGAAGTTTTAGACTCGTTTTTAGATTATTTCCCGTCAAATATTATTCGGATTACATTCGATGTTAGAGGTTAAAAATCCTGTAAATAATTGTTGCCGGACTTGAGCATTGTCTCGTCAGGGGCGTAACTTTTTCACTGAGTGAGTAGAAATTCCCGTCCGACTCAGAACTCGCGACTGTAACTCACCTGTGTATTAGGGGATTTTCTGAAATTTTCTCCAACTGAGCTTCTAGCTGCATTTTGCAAGATGCTTATGCATGATTATAATAAATCAACTTATATTGTCCAGCTTGCCGCTAATTTAGTCCTCTTCGAATTGCAGCAAACTTTTTTTGTCTGGTATTTTTTTTTTTCTCTTTGTTTTTCTGTAACTCACCTAATGTTATTTATTAGGGATTTTCTGAAATTTTCTCCAAGCTCAATTAGCTGCTGGCTGCATTCTGCATATAAATCCAATTATATTGCCAGCTTGCTGCTAATTTAGTCATCTACTAATTGCAGTAAACTCTTTTTTGTCTGGTATTCTTTTTTTTTTCTTTGTTTTTTCTGGGACAGTTTATCAAAGTTTTTCATCATGGCTCAATCAATGTCACAAATGCACAAACCATATAAGGACCAATTTGAAACCTCAAACAATCACAAGTTACAATAAGGAGATGAAATTGAAATCCCTTCATGCATACACTATAAAAAAGGTAACAAAAATTTCGAATTATCTATCGGCCACATGCAGAAGAGGAGAGCTGCTATTTTCACCGGAATCTGAATATCTGACCGGATTCATAGCCGGATCTCGATATGCAGTGGAAAGCTCATCATAGAAAGAAGATATGGTGGGTTCATATTGATCAAGTCTATCCTTGTTTATCAAGCACTGCATTTGTTTTGTCAACAGGAAAAAAAAAAAAAGGATTAGTTATCAGTCGAAGTATACTCGTTCGCCAACCAATCAAGAAAACAACAAACGAGATTGCTGGGTAAAAAATCGAGTCAGTGTGGGGAATTTACCTCAGCAGGATAGCCTTTGAAGCTGGGTAAAAATCTTCTACGGCAGTAACTGTTGAATATGAGGGTGAGAATCGGGAGAGGAATTGTTAAGCTGGAAGCCATCGGGACTTTCTTGAGGCCAAATATCCCGATTGCAATAACATGCATTAATATTAAGGAAAATATTGTTGCGTCGTGAACCACAGGCCAGAATTTCCCACCGGTTTCGAATTTGGGCTCGTAAACATTCAAGAGCTGACCCAAAAAGCACAATTAAGCAAAAAAATTAGTGTTAATATCTCATTCAGTCCACACTATCTCAAGACTATTTGCATCAAACACAGACTAAAAGAATTCATTTGAAAATAATTATTTTGCTCAATTCTCGTTTTCATCATTGCTTGTTAATGATTTAATATTTGATGCAATTTACTAAAATTGCAATAAATTTTAAATTACAGGACTGAAATTGTAATAAAATTTAAATTACAAGACTTAAATTGCTAATAAAAAATCCATCCCAAAGATATAAATTTGGGAATTTGTTGCAATTTCATTCCTCAAAAGACTGAAATTGCAGCAAAATATTAAATCATAGGACCAAAAGGCGAAATGTTAGAATCTGAGGACTAAAATTGTTATGGCTTTAAAGCAACAGTACTAAAAATGCATTTTAGGCTGCAACGGTTTAGTTTGACTTTACTTTCATTTGAACAAAATGGCAATGAAAGAGTTAAAAACTGGACTATTTTTGCAATAATATTTGTCAAATCCGAATCCAAAACCGATTTAAAATTACAGCTCACCTGATTTCGGTAGATGATGTACCCAAAGCAATAGTAAACCAAGACAAAAGGCAAAATCATGGGTGCAAGGAAGAAGTATGTTATGCCAAGAAGGCCGAAAAATAGAATCCTCGGAATTTCACTGTGATAAGGGTTTGAAGGTACTTCAACTTCAACTTCCTCATCAGATTTCCAACACAATTTTCGTTTAATCGAACCCCAAATGAAGCGTTTCACGCGGAAAAGCTTTGACGAAAATGTTTTGGTCCATCCAGATGTCACAACATATGCAATGAAGAATGATGCCTGAAAAGAGAATAATAATTTTTCACTCCAACAGTATAAATCTTCGGAAGAACTTTCAAAAACGAGCATACCTGTCCAGGAACAGCTACAGCTAACACTTCAGGAATTCTTTTGGGCTCGAGAAAGATATTGATTCTGTATAATGCCGATCCTGATAGGACATTTGCAAAGAAGATGTTCCATATAGTGAACCACAACATTTTAATGCATGCACTTTTCTCTATCTGGCTGAGAGCAATGTACCCTTGTATAGAGGAAAGCACGATCATAGTCGGTGGTATTGCAGATAAAAACATCTCAAGAATCAGACTTGGAAGATATCCTGTAATTACTTGGCCCACGATTTTCCTGCACCACGTGTAAATCCCAATTTTATGCTATAAAGAAAGTATATTTAAAATGTCCATTATTCGATAACTAATGGTTGCTACATGAAGAATACAATTTTGAGACCGAGTTGCAGCACACTGAGAATGAAAAATCTAGCAGACTTGCTTGGATACATTTTTTTCTAAAAAAGTCCAATCATTTTTAACCAATCACTTTTTTTCACTCAAATCTAACTCAACTTTAACTCAACCGCACTATCCTCAACATTATCAATATAATTAAATAATATCACTCAATCATTCTTACATATTATATCAACTTTAATTTACTATTCATCCTCTCACATAATTTTACTAACCATCACTTGACATCATCTATCTCCTACTTTTACATCAAATCAACTTTAATTATTTTATTTTAAATAATTTTAAAATAAACTCAAAATCCACCTAACAACTAACCATACCACTTTTTTCTCAAATTTAACCATACCAAATCAAAAATTTCAAACAAAATCAATCTTATATCCAAGCATTATAAACCATTTGAGATCGGCAAAGTAAATAAGTAACTCACACTTCAAATACGGCTTTCAGAAAGGGTAGCCAAATCTCTAACTGATCCAAATGAGTAAGACCTTGCACTAGGAGAACAGGTCCAAGGAATAAAACCGTTATGAAAATACATGCGAAAATAACAAAAATGTTGCACATCCATCTTTTGAGAAAAGAAGCGGAAAAGAAGGGCCAATATACATCCTGCGGATCAGGAGCTTGCTCGGCGAGCCATTCCGTGGGTTTAATCCCCTGTTGAAGGTGCGAAACTACTGAAGCTGTAAACCGAGACTTGAAAGAGACAAATGCAGCTGGAACTTCCTATTAGTGCAGAATTAGATTATAATATCGTCAGATACTACCCAAACCATAATACGAAGACACAAATATGAACTATTAAAGAGGCCAAAGAATGAGAACACCCAAAATGAAAATGAGGGGATGTGAACAAAAGTGCTCACTAAGGGAAAAAGAATGGTTTAAAACAAATAATGAAAGACAGTGTCAACATGGAATTTTTTAGGACTAACACTATAAAAGCACATATGATTGTTGGCAATCTTCAAATGGACCATAAGATTGGAGTAAAACTAATTGTCAATGAGAGACAGTAAATATAAAATAAAGTACCGTTCAATTTAGCCAAAGATTGTTACCTTTCCAGCTATAGAAGACCTTTCCATCCTCAAATTACCTTCCATATCTTCTAGCTTCTTTTCGTAGTGATCTTGAAGATCAACTCTTTTTCCAAAAAGACCCAGAAAGCCATCTCGCGTAAATCTTTCTTGAGGATGTCTTTTCGTTTTCACATGAGCAAGTCTTTTGTAAACCTTGTCGGCCTTATTCTATGAACAATGTTGAGCACGTCTCAGAAACAGAACAAACTGTGTTAAATCTAAGATTTAATCATCAAATCTTAAAATTTGTTATAAAAGAAAAAGGTGAAACTTGTTAACCCCCTCAGAAGTTTATATGAGCAACTAACATAGCTACCATACCTCTCAGCATGATATTTTATGTATATAAAAAGACATGAATAAAATGAATAAACGAGCTCAGAAGATTTTAAGATCGAACTGAATGGAGGGAGAAAGTAAATTTTTCAGAACAGGTTGGCTACCTACAGTTTGCATGTTCAAGGGGGAAAGTAAAATGAAAAGAATTAATGAAGACAAGAATAAAAATGCAAACTTTACAATACTTTTACTGAAGTGTTAGCTTTGAATTCCGCTTACAATGAGCGCTTTAAGTTTGCTTGTCCGGCGGACCACAGAATGGGATAGATAGGTAGAAGGATAATATTTACTGAAGAAGCTCTCAACACTTTCACTGAACTTCTGTCCAGAAGAGACTGGAATACTTCGAACTAAAACAGTGAACTGGCTGGGCCGAGGTTTGGAAGAATAGAAGTAAGCAATTCTCCTTGATGCAATATAGTCATATTCCTGCATAACAAACACTAATTTTATGACCCATTAACTTCTTGTATCAACTAGTATGGAAGTTCTATATGGAGTGAAAGATGAATTCCTTACAAAATAAAGAAGATAGCAGACAACAGCCGTGAAAATATAAACAGCTGAGAAGTGTATCCATAACCTTTGGACCCAAAATGAAGTAAGTCATTTACCAGTAAAAAGTTAATACAAAATTTCAACCAACTACAAACTTAATGCACAAAGAACAAAGTGAAGGTTTTCCCATGCACCAAAAGAAAATGATAAAGCATAGAATATTATCTTACCCTTAGAGAGATGCACAACTCAAATCTCATTGGTTGAGCAATACACTTAGCTCGTTGTGATAACAATAAATTCGAGTACATTAAAGAGTATGAATAATGACCTGTTTGAACCATCGTCAACATTTGAAATACTGAATGTTTCCAGCGATTTGTTTGGTAGATCAGTAAAGTCAATGTTCAGCTGATTCCCCATATAATTGAAAGGAAGAAGAATGAATATTCCGATAATACCAGCAAATCGAAATACTCTGAGCCTGTAGACAGAGAATGAGACATTTCTAAGACAATCTACGTAATCTGCACAATAACAGAACTAAGAAGTTACCACTGAATAACCTACCTTCTAGGCATGTGTGGTTAATATTAAGAAGTATCAAATCAGCTACTTCCGGTTTAACAACCATTCGACAAAAAAATATTTCACAATGAACAATTTTTCCCAAGCTCTCTGCCTAACATTTCAAAAATATGAAATAGATTTGTTAAGTTATAATGATAAGGATTTTAAGATCATGGAATGAGCCGTCTTGTCTTGCAATTAATACGTGAAAATGTTGATGCTGCATACGTTAGCCTTTTCCCATCAAATAGAATCTAATTTACTTAAATTATATTAGTAAGTCTGAGTTATTTGGT